AGAAGTGAATACTAAAAGAATCTAATTTACAAGCACTTTCAGGCTTTTTTTTTTTATGCACTGTATTGCTTGCTGCAAGTATGTTGAAACAACACCTAATATTTGAATCCTCGTTGTTTACAGGGAATTGACAGATCCTAAGGGAATATAAGTCAAAAGGCCAAAATAAGATACAGGGTGAACTGAACTCTACTACTCCATCTTACAAAAGGAAATGAGCTTATTCACAAAGATATATTATATATTTTATTACAAATGCAACGACTAGCACCTCTGTGAGAATTGCTTCTTGGGGAAAAATACGTTTCGTATCAACCATCAGCCATCAGCCATCAGCCATCGCTCCAGGAATCGTCATCTTCACCATTGTCGCTTCCAACAGCCTGAGAAATTACTCAATAGTTATGACAAGTCTTTTATGTACAACGATGTAGTGCAGAGTAGGAAAACAAGACAATGAAGAACCTGGCGGATCGCATTGGCTTTCTCCAAAATTGCTGTGACTTTGACGTGGGTTGCGGGTCCTGCTGTAGTGGTCGGCTTCTCAGTCACTGTGCGTCTAAGGTTGAATGACTGGGGTATCATGGTGTTGAGAATAAGTTAATAATAATAAGAACTATCACTTTTGATATGATTTGTAAATCTTGATATGTAATTCGAAGTGATAATGCTTAATTACATGTCTTGGAGAATCTAAACAACAAAAATTATGTAAAAAGAATTTTCAAGGGCATCTTTTACAATTCAGTAAGGAGCCGTACTTCTAGTTATTCATATTAGAATACTATGAATGTATATGGTGGCCGACGTGCGATTGTGCAAATACTATATTGTCTGCAAGTTATGGTTTTATCAATAACTAACTGCAGGCGCTGGCATACAGATGGGACCAACAACATAACCAAACTGAGCTTGAATGATTTGATTTGGATAGCTTTGTGCAAGGAATAAAACCAACTATATTTTATGTAGCACAGGTTTATTGTCATTGAATTTCAATTTCCAGCAGAATCTAACAAAATCTATAGGAGGAAATTAATATTCATAAAAAACGTAAGAAAGGTTGTTTACCTTTGCTCTAATTTGTTGCAGGAAATCTTCCCTAGCATCCATCACATTTCCATTTCCAATGCGGTTTTTTTCTTTTTGATCATGCATCGTCACTTGCTCTGGCTTCTACATTCAACAAATGCATTAGCAATCATGACTTCCCGCAACTTACATCATTCTAACCTTTTTAATCTGTTGTCAAAATAACCACTAAACTACCAATTTACCTTGGCATTTGGTTTGGTTTCAATGGACTCATGAGTTATTTGCTGCTGGAAGACAACTGGTTCCACCTGTTTTGGATTAGCTGTTAAATCCTTCTGGTCTTCAGACATATCTAAGGATGCTTTTGAAACGCACCATTGCGCAGGAGGAAGAGGTGGTGGAGCTGGAGTAGGATTATCTGAACATTGCGACTTAAGAAGATTCACAGCATCAATATTGTTGATTCTTTCGCTCATTGCCGGGTTTACAATGTCAAAACATGGAAGATCAAGTAAAGGACCAGCAAGGGATTCATCCATGCCATTCCTAGTGTTTAAACTTCCACTTCCACAAACCACTGTAATGCCATTCTTTGGGATCCCCTCAAGCTCAAATGAAGAATCCATCTGAGACATGTGTAAATCATACAAATTCTGGCCTTTGCTTTCTGGAGTGTCATCTGATTCCCACAGGTCAGAATTTGACTTAGAGTGATCACTAAGACAATCATCTGACATACATGGAGATGACCTACAGAATGTGTCATCATCAGACTCAGAGCCAATCTCATGCACAGAAATAGACTCCTCGGGGGCCAACTGAAATGAAGGAAATATGTCCTTTGTGCTTCCACGGCCTTCACTGCCATCGGGAAATTTCAATTTCAATTTTGAAAGTTCAAAGCTACAAACAGGATGGAAAGAGATCTTCATGTGATCAAGTGGAGGCGAAGGGGGACATGAATCTATAGGAGAATCACAGCCTAAGTGCTCTTTGGAAATAGATGTCGTTTCAAAACTTTCATCATGTATTAGTGTCAGTTTTCTATGAAAGCCATTTACAAACAATTGGTCGCTAAGTCCAGAAATTTGATTGGAGTTTTCATCTTTCTCCATACCGGTTCGAGTACACATGCCATTGACATCCGGTACGGCTGGAGATGCAATTCCAGCCATTATTGCACTTGGCTTTACCATATCATTCATGTGGGCACAACTAGATCCATTACTCGAATTATTGATACTAAAACTTTCATTCTTGGCATTTAAATCACCTCTTGACAATTCCTGAAATGGAGTACAAGTCCTTAATATATTACCAGATGTATCATATTTCTGATCACCATGGTGCAACGAAGACTTATTAGAAGTTGAATCTTTTTCATTGTTAATACCATCTTTGTGCAAAATACCCACTTTAATTTCCTGTGCATTACCATTGATCACATATGCATGATCATAAGGGCCACGTTTCTCACCTTTACTTGAGTCCTCACTAGAAGCATTTGATACAGCCCAAGAAGGAGGTTTCGATGGCTGAAGTCCTAGCAAGCCACCATTAGTCCAAAACCTATCTGAAGGATTGCTGGATAAAGAAGTTTTTCCGGATTCATGCACCTTGTTCAATAATCTAATTCCTGAGTGATCCTCTAAACTAGAAGTGGAGTCGGGAGGGAAGGAATTGCTAATATCAGATTCCAATGTGGAAATTTCTTTTCCATGCAAATTGGTTACTTGAGGACGGTCAGGACTAGAAACCTTCAAGGTGTTTTCAAGCCTTTGATCATGGTAAAAACTATCTGAAGAAACTAAATTTGAAATAATACCTTTGTCAAAGGACTTTTGAGGATCATTACTCAGGTTAAGAATTGTAATATCAGGATTCAAACTAGATTCAAGGAGGTCGTGCATTGGATCTTCTGCTTCACACTTTATATTGGACAAGCATGGTTCTACTTCTCGTTTAGTCTGGCAGTCAAGGTCAGTTTCAGATTCCGATTCAATGGTGTTGAGTGCATCCATATAATTGTCTGTTTCACTTTCAATTTCATCAAACACATTCCTATCGTAAATTGATTCTGACTGGTGGCCATCATTAGCTAGCATGCTTATTTGTTCATCATTCCTGAGGTAAAAGTCTTCCATTTCATGTGGATCCAAGGTATATTTAGGTACAAGAACCTCATACTCTTTATCTTTGTTGTCCTGTTGACTGCTCGGCTCCACTATCTCCAATTTTTCTCTACCATCCTGTTGACTCCCTGGTCCCACTATTTCTGCCTTTTCTACGTTGCCCAGTTGAGCCCTTGGCTGCACAGTTTCTGCCATTTCTCTGACATCCTGTCGAGTCCTTGGCTGCACTATTTCTGCCATTTCTCTAACATCC